GTGTATAGCCTTTCTTGCTTCTCAAGTATTTGAGTATCCATACTTGGTGTGTGGTAATTCATATAATTGGCACTCTTGAAGAATTACACCCCGCCTTTGGCCTGAGGGATTTTGTAGTTCTTGCTTATTTGCAACTCTTAAAGCCCAACGTGTGTTGGAAATCCTTGTTTAGAGTCTCTACAGTTGGTCTCTCTTTTCTAATCACGAGTCCGACTTCGACCAGTGTTCTGTTTGGATTCAAGACACATATGAATCCTCAGTAAGTTCTTTTTCCTTAAATCCATCTTCAGTTGGTATTCTTGTCAGAGTACCCCTCGACTGGTTTCTTTCTCCTATAAAGTCTGTCTTTGATGTGGCGTTCTTTGTGAATTTACTTTGGTTAAAATCCTAGTCCAGTTTCCTCAATGGAATCTGTCGCGTAGTATCCCCAGAATGTCCGTCTTTGGTCGGAATTCTCCCCCCGAAAAGTCTACTTTCGGTTAGTCTTCTTTTATCTGGAAAATTCGCCTCTGCCCAGCGTCCCTCCTTTTTGTTGGTTAAAGTTCTCCTTCAATAGGGGTTCATTATCTAGAAGTCTATCTGTGTTTAGCATTATTTTCTTGATATCCATGGTTATATGTCTTTTCCTCCAGACATATTCTCCCGATATCTTTGCTTAGAGTCCTTTCCTCCGGCCTCTTTCCTTATATATGTCCTTTCCTCCGGACGTATATTCTTGATATCCTTGGTTAGAGTCCTTTCCTTCGGTCTCTTTCCTTATATATTTCCTTTCCTCCGGACATATTTTCTTGATATCCTTGGTTATATGTCCTTTCCTCCTGACATATATTCCTAATATCTTTGGTTAGAGTCCTTTCCTCTGGCCTCTTTCCTTATATATGTCATTTCCCCGAACATATTTTCTTGATATCCTTGGTTGTATGTCCTTTCCTCCGGACGTATATTCCTGATATCCTTGGTTAGAGTCCTTTCCTCCGGTCTCTTTCCTTATATATGTCCTTTCCTCCGGACGTATTTTCTTGATATCCTTGGTTATATGTCATTTCCTTCAGACATATTTTCCTGATATCCTTGGTTAGAATCCTTTCCTCCGGTCTCTTTCCTTATATATTTCCTTTCCTCCGGACATATTTTCTTGATATCCTTGGTTATATGTCCTTTCCTCCGGACCTATATTCCTAATATCTTTGGTTAGAGTTCTTTCCTCTGGCCTCTTTCCTTATATATGTCCTTTCCTCCGGACATATTTTCTTGATATCCTTGGTTATATGTCATTTCCTCCGGACGTATATTTCTGATATCCTTGATTAGAATCCTTTCCTCTGGTCTCTTTCCTTATATATGTCCTTTCCTTCGGACGTATTTTCTTGATATCCTTGGTTAGAGTCCTTTCCTCTGGTCCCTTTTCTTATATATGTCCTTTCCTCCTGATATATTTTCTTGATATCCTTGGTTATATGTCCTTTCCTCCTGACATATTTTCCTTATATCTTTGGTTAGAGTCCTTTCCTCCGGTCTCTTTCCTTATATATGTCCTTTCCTTCAGACATATTTTCTTAATATCCTTGATTATATGTCCTTTCCTCCGGACATATTTTCCCGATATCCTTGATTAGATTCCTTTTCTCTGGTCTCTTTCCTTATATATGTCCTTTCCTCCGGACATATTTTCTTGATATTCTTGGTTATATGTCCTTGCCTCCTGACATATTTTCCTGATATCTTTGGTTAGAGTCCTTTCCTCCAGTCTCTTTACTTATATATGTCCTTTCCTCCGGACATATTTTCTTGATATCTTAAGTTATATTTCCTTTCCTCCGGACATATTTTCCTAATATCTTTGATTAGAGTCCTTTCCTCCGGCCTCTTTCCTTATATATGTCCTTTCCTCTGGATATATTTTCTTGACATCCTTAGTTATATGTGCTTTCCTCCGGACGTATATTCCTGATATTCTTGATTAGAGTCCTTTCCTCCTACCTCTTTTCTTATATATGTTCTTTCCTCCAGACATATTTTCTTGATATCTTTGGTTATATGTCCTTTCCTTCAGACGTATATTCCTGATATCCTTGGTTAGACTCCTTTCCTCCGGCCTCTTTCCTTATATATGTCCTTTCCTCCGGACATATTTTCTTGATATCCTAAGTTATATGTCCTTTCCTTCGAACATATTTTTCTGATATCTTTGGTTAGAGTCATTTCCTCCTGCCTCTTTCCTTATATATGTCCTTTTCTCCGGACATATTTTCTTGACATCCTTGGTTATATGTCCTTTCCTCCGGACGTATATTCCTGATATCCTTGATTAGAGTCCTTTCCTCCGGTCTCTTTTCTTATATATGTCCTTTCCTCCAGACATATTTTCTTGATATCCTTGTTTATATGTCCTTTCCTCCGGACGTATATTCCTGATATTCTTGGTTAGATTCCTTTTCTTTTACCTCTTTCCTTATATATGTCCTTTCCTCCGGATGCATTTTCTTGATATCCTTGATTATATGTCATTTCCTCCGAACGTATATTCCTGATATCCTTGGTTAGAGTCCTTTCCTCCGGTCTCTTTCTTGTTATGTGTGTGCTACCAACCCCAGACATGTATTCTTGATATCTTTGTAAGATCTTTCTTCGGTCTGTCTCTTTCGTATGTATCCGCTACCGACCCTGAATATGTGTCTTTGATATCTTTTCGTATGTCCGCTATCGATCCAGGCATATATCTTTGATATCTTCCGTATGTGTTCGCCACCAACCCCGAACATGTACTTTTGATATCTTTCTTGTCATGTGTTCGCTACCAACTCCGAACAGATGTTACTTGATAACCAAGTTCTTATTCTATGTGTCTAACCCTGGTTTGACATACATTTATCCCCGATAACCCCTTCTTCGCCAAAAAAGAGAGAGCAAAAAATAGAAAATACAAAAAACCAAAAATATAATAATTCCTTACAGGTTTTGGAGTGGAAATTTCCGGGTTCTTGAAGTATTTTATCTTCTTCCACCTTGAAAGTTCGAAATACTGACGCCAATCTCACCTTCAGGTTGAAGGCGATTAAATAGGGGAAACTGTTGCACCCCAAAATTTTCCCTCCTAATTTCTTTTATTTGGCTTAGACTTTTGCATCCACATCTTTTCATTAGGTCATCTGCACTAACATAACATGTATTTACATCGAATAAAGCGTCAGAGATTCAGAAGTTTGGTAGGTGTACAAGTTATGGTTTTTACAGTGAACTGGGATATAAATTTTCAATAAAGTTTGAGTTCCTTGGTTCGTTCCTCAAGTGGTGAATTATGAATTAGGTCCTCCTTTTCCCAAACACATGTTTTTGCGCATGATATGATATGTGGCGCCATTGATAGGGTTCAAGTCATTCAGTTGGATTTATTTCAAAGGCATGTGCATCATGTATGTGGTTCTTGTGAATCATGGAGTAAGAAGCTTCATTGTTGTGCTTATACTTATCATCGATACTAGGGTTCGTCTCCCAATTCATGTGGCTCACTATCATCCAAGGGTCAACTCAATCGATTACTTGGATTACAAGGCATAAACCATGGTTCTGATACAAGAGAATAAAGTTTAGATCCGTCTATGTTTCACTCCATCAATTAGAGATTTGTGTATCATGTTTCAAAGTTACTTTTCTGGTTAGCTTTGGGCTTGGGATATAAAGCATCTGGGAGTTAAGATTCAATGTTGAGTTTATGGGTTCATTAATCAAGCATGCCATTTGAAGCTACCTGAGATTCAAATTTTCATGAACGTTCGAGTTGCAGATGAGGATTGATTTAAGATGAACATGGAATAGAAGGTTTTAATACGGTTCGAGAATAATTCACTTAACTTTCTTGGAGGACCAGTTAAATGTGGTGTTTTATTGATTGAGGTTAAGGTGTTCGCATCCAATAAAAGCTCATTTCTTCTGATTCTTTTGGTTAATTCTTCAAGCAGTGAAGTGAGGAATTAGGGTTCCTAATCCTTTATGGTTAGGCTTGGTCGGGTTTTCGTTTGAGGTGTATTTCTAAATACAATCAAGTGATTTTCTTAAAGATGAATATTTAGATTTAAGATTTTCTTTGTGAAGGACGAATAAAGTCGTCTTCTCGTATGGGGTTTTCATCCTTTAGTCAAGTGTGATTTATCTGATAGTGGCTATTGGAGACTCGTATTTCATCAATTCAAGGCATGCTTGTTGTTTTAAATCACAAGGTACTGATTGTGGCGTTAATGCACTAGATTCATCTGTTCTTTATCCAATCAATCAAAGTTGGATACATCATGATCCTAGGTACATTGTCTGATAAGTTTTTGTTGCTCAAGACTCGATTCGTGAATAATTGGTACAAGATAGTCCTTCTAGGATGTCCATTCGAAGTCTCTGGGTTCAAATTGGGTTGCTAAAGTCCATAGTCGAGAACTCATTAGAATGATGAGGTTTTAGCAAAGTGAATTTCATTTAAGCATCACTCAAGATTACATCTAATCCCATTCATGTTTCTACTTTGAATACGTGGAATGCACAAAAGTGAGAAGTTAATACTCCAAAATAATTTGGATTGTTCGACAAATATCTTGTTGAATTCACATCATGATCACAAGATTTTATGCAAGATATTAATCAAAGTAAATCAGATTTTCAAGTTCAATTTGAAAGAAGAGAATGCTTTGAATAATTGGTATTTCGTCATTTAAAGTCAAGAGTTCGTAAGATTACATAATCCTTTAAGTTGCATTCGTATCTTCATTCAAATTCCATTTTGCTATTACAAGAAGACTACAAACATTACTCCATCACCATTTTCAAAGGGAAAATAAATTGTATATGATTATATTCAAAGTGCATCAAATACATGAAAAAATCTACATAAATAAATGCATATCCCTAACACTAATCTTCATCTTCAGTGTTCTTCATGTTTTCTTTTCCAGACTGTTCAATAACTTCTCCGTTTACATCTAATACTTCTTCAATTCTCTTCAAGTCCTCCATGATCAAGGTAACTTTGCAATTTGGTTCTCACCCTTAACGTCAAGCCTGCGTGCTGCATACAATTGGCAGCCATCCGAAACCAATTCGGAAATCAAAGCTATCTTGCAAAATGAAATAGAAAGAAAAATCAGAATTAGCAGCTCAGCTTATGAAAAGAGAAATTCAAGAAAGAATATCAGAAATATAAGCGGGAGAATAAATCAGAAGGAAGGCGTAAACATTTTCCAGCTTAGTAAATAACCAAAAAATCAGGGACTCACATATAAGAATTTATAGCTCAGTATCAATCAGATCTTACCCATTCATTGTTATAACCGAATTCAGATCCAAGGGCTATTATTCATCAGGCTTCTAACTTCCCTAAACTAACAAACAGTTCAGCATCCAAAATTTTCTAACGGAAAATTTCATAACAAAGATGACTTTCAATCTCAACTCTCCATATATAACAGAAAATCAAAACCAAAGGCCCAGATTTATTCAGCTCTAGCTAACTACCTATAACCAATTTCCCAAACTAATCTCTTAACGACCAACCGACTCTAACTTCTAACAGAACCAACGAACTTTCATTCCCAACTAACCTATAACTGTCATAACAGATTTCGAAACTCCCTCTAACTTCTTACTTCCTAACAGTCTAAATGCTCCTAACAAACTTCTAACAACCTTCGTAACAAACTTCTAACAGATTTGGAAATAGAAGAGAAGAGAAGGATGAAGGAGGGATGATTCATTCATACAAAGCAAAAAAACAGAAAGACTCACCAGATTTATCAGGGAGGGCTTCACGATTCTGCAGGGGGATCTCTATCACAGAAACTTTTTACCCTCCTTTCATCTTCATCTTCATCATTCTTCATCTTGAAGAATCATCGAAAAAACAAGAAAACTCTATGCTCTCTCACGCTGTCTCCCTCAACCGAGTTTATCATCCTCACTCAGTATCATTCTTCATCTTCTTCAAGCATCAGCTTCATTGCATAAGCATCTTCTACTCTTTACACACGACTACTTAAATCCTTCAGTCTCACAAACAATAACAAACTCTCAGTGTCAAGCACGACAATTTGCGAGTGTAATCGGGCACAAAATCAGAAATATGGAGAAGAAAGGAGGGAGAAGATGAGGAAAATCAGAAGAAAAAGCTAAGGATAGGTATACCTGAGTTGAACCAACATACGTGGGTTTCGATTCATCTTCACTACGATTGAAGCATCGACGGAGCGAAACAGACATGTAAGTGCTTTTTGTTCCATCTTTTTTGAGTAAACACGGTGTATGTGTTTAGCCTGGTGCAATTAGAGTTTCAATTTGAGAAGATAAGCATTGATATCTGAGACATTATGAAACTGAAACGCGACGGAGATTTGAGAAAATCGAAATCAGTAGTGAGGTTGAATCGGAGGTGTGGGAGATAAGATGATTTGAAATCGAAATGAACGGAGAATGACAAAGTGGCGACAGTGAGAGAATCGTGAACGGAGCAATCAGACGATGAGGCCTCCGCGATAGTGAAATCGTTGAGGTGAAGGCCGATGGGAGGAGACGAGTAGGAGAATTAAGAAGGACCTCGCGAAAGAGAGGCAGAGAAGTTTGATTTGAGTCAAAGCGGAAGAATATGAGGATTGAGCAGAAGAGCTGGGAATCGCGTCGCCGTTGAGTTGGGAAGAAGAAGTTTGTTTCGGTAAGCAGAGTATCACAATGATTCTTAACCCTAAATTTCCTCTTTCATTTTGTTAAAATTAATTTATTTGCTTTATTAACAATGAAGATCAAATATGATCTTTATAAAAAAACGAAATTGGGCCCTCTAAATCCATCATTTTTTAGTCTGGTGGAGTTAAAAAAAAGGCTTAGTAGAGTAGTTCAATTGGGCTAAGCGCCCACGCCTCATAGTGGCCATACTCCTGGATTTCAGTCTGTACCCCCTTCTGATTAGAATTCTAGTTTATTTTTCTCATTAGTTTCCTTTCTATAATTTTTTATAATCAAAACTAATCATAAAAACCATAAAAAAATTGTTAATTGTTTTTTTAAGGAATATAATATAATTTCTCTAGATTTTTCTTCTTTTATAATTTTGTTAGAATTTTCTATTATGGTTTACAGCTATTTTACACACACTCACATATACAGGTCTACATCCACTCTGGATCTCACTGGTAACGACTCTGCTACTTCCAGTTATGACTTTGAAAATCCGATCAACTTAGCCGAAGACGAAGGTGAAGATGATTGCGAAGTGCTTGGTGAGCTTGCAATACTGTTACTTCAAGAAGAGAGGGTTATTCATCCACATGAAGAGCCGGTGGAATCAGTGAATCTGGGTACAGATATAGACAAGAAGGAAGCCAAGATCGGTTCCAATCTGGAGCTTAGTGTGAAACAACGGTTGATTCAGATGCTGCGTGACTATGTTGAGATCTTTGCCTGGTCTTACGAAGATATGCCTGGGTTGGATACCGACATTGTGGTTCATCGCCTACCTACCAAGGAAGACTGTCCTCCAGTAAAACAGAAGGTCCGCCGAATGCGCCCAGAGATGTCTGAGAAAATCAAGGCTGAAGTTATGAAACAGTTCGACGCCAGTTTTCTAGCAGTTACTTCTTACCCTCAGTGGGTTGCCAATGTGGTTCCGGTACCGAAGAAGGATGGTAAGGTCCGAATGTGTGTTGATTACAGGGATTTGAACAGGACGAGCCCCAAGGATGATTTTCCTCTACCTCATATCGACGTTCTGGTTGACAACACCGCTCAGCATAAAGTCTTCTCCTTTATGGATGGCTTCTCCGGTTATAATCAGATTAAAATGGCTCCCGAAGACATGGAGAAGACAACCTTTGTTACTCAATGGGGTACCTTTTGCTACAAGGTCATGCCTTTTGGACTGAAGAATGTTGGGGCAACGTATCAACGTGCCATGGTTGCTTTGTTTCATGACATGATCCATCATGAGATCGAAGTATACGTCGACGATATGATTGCAAGGTCCCAGACTGAGGAAGAACACCTTGACCATCTCCAGAAGCTGTTTGACAGGTTGAAGTTGTACAAGCTGAGGTTAAACCCGAACAAGTGCACCTTCGGGGTAAGGTCTGGTAAACTGCTGGGCTTCGTCGTGAGCGACAAAGGTATTCAAGTGGATCCTGCAAAAGTGAAAGCCATACAAGAGATGCCAACTCCTAGAACAGAGAAAGAAGTCAGAGGCTTTCTGGGACGTCTAAATTACATTGCCCGATTCATCTCACACCTGACTGCTACTTGTGAGCCAATCTTCAAGTTACTGAAGAAAGATCAAGTGGTACGATGGAATGATGAATGTCAGGCCGCTTTCGAAAGGATCAAGGAGTATCTCCAAGAGCCACATATTCTGATGCCACCAGTTGAAGGGAGACCTTTGATCTTATACTTGACAGTACTCGACAACTCAATCGGGTATGTGTTGGGTCAGCATGACGAGTCTGGCCGAAAAGAGCATGCTATTTATTACTTTAACAGATTCAATATCACCAATAATGGTAATCCACCCCCAGCGGAGTTTATCAGTGGAATCCTCAGCAGAGCATCTCTTCCCCATAGAGTAACCTCCTCATCAGTTTATTCCCCAACAAAGTTATCTTCTCCTACAGGTTTATTCTCACAGTCATCTTCGTTCGTCATCCCCAGCGGAAGCGAAGAATTCAACTCTATTCTCCAGCAGCTCCAGGATTTATTTTCCCCAGCTAAAACATTACATTTCCATACATCATGATACATGCATAAATGCATCATACTATATAATCTCATTTATGTTGAGAACATCATTGCTTGATCCATATCATGCATTGCATATGACTGACCTTTACCTTTCAAGAAAGATGCAGTTAAATTCTCAACTATATGGAAGACCTCCTCTGGTCCAGTTAAATCGATTCCTAAATATTTTTCTGATGCCAATTCAGTCAATGCAGACATGACCAGTTAAATCGATTCCTAAAGATTTTTCTGATGCCAATTCATTCAATGGAGACATGACCAGTTAAATTGATTCCTAAATATTTTTCTGATGCCAATTCAGTTAATGGAGACATGACCAGTTAAATCTATTCCTAAAGATTTTTTTGATGCCAATTCAGTCAATGGAGACATGACCAGTTAAATCGATTCCTAAATATTTTTCTGATGCCAATTCAGTCAATGCAGACATGACCAGTTAAATCGATTCCTAAAGATTTTTCTGATGCCAATTCATTCAATGGAGACATGACCAGTTAAATCGATTCCTAAATATTTTTCTGATGCCAATTCAGTTAATGGAGACATGACCAGTTAAATTGATTCCTAAAGATTTTTTTGATGCCAATTCAGTCAATGGAGACATGACCAGTTAAATCGATTCCTAAATATTTTTCTGAGGCCAATCCAGTCAAAGAAGACAAAACCAGTTAAATCGATTCCTAAAGATTTTTCTAAGGTCAATCCAGTCAAAGAAGACAAAACCAGTTAAATCGATTCCTAAAGAGTTTTCTAAGGCCAACCCAGTCAAAGGAGACAAGACCAGTTAAATCGATTCCTAAAGATTTTTATGACACCAATCCAGTCAAAGAAGACAAAACCTTCTCTGGTCCAGTTAATCGATTCCTAAAGATTTTTCTGACGCCAATCCAGTCAAAGAAGACAAAACCTCCTCTGGTTCAGTCAGATTGCCGATAAGATCTCCCTGATTCGTATTCCGGTTGAAGTTCAGACCACCTACCAATAATCTCAAAATGGCATCTGTAAGCCCATTCCTAACATCACAACACTGATACCACTTCATGCGAGTGCAAATTTCTGGGCACTCTAGTGTTCAATCATCTTCCACCTTCGGATCACGAAAGGCCCGAAAGCCAATCTATATCCTCAGGTTTAAGAGAATTTAACAGGGTCAGATGTTGTACCCCAAAATTTTCCCTCCCATATTTCTCAAGACATGTCAAGAAAAATCTCCAAGTTGCTCAAGATTGCTCAAAAGTTGGACAGACAAGTCATCTCCTAAGGCAGTCAATCTCAAATTAGGGTTTTGTGTTGCATCAAGGTCCTTACATCTAAATGACCTCAAGTGCTCCCCAATGTCCTAATAAGTTCTCAAGTTCATCCATGTCAAATTTCAAGCCTTGCAGAGGAAGTTGGTCAGTCAATTGCTCAAGAGGTCCAAAGATCGACTGTGCTAGGGCAAAAGTCAATTGTGACCTACAAATAGTCAAACTTCAATATTTTTTGTCAACATTCTCATTTTGAAGGTTAATTCATCATTTGATCAAAGTTTGATCATGATTCATCAAGGATTGCTCAAGATTCATCAAGATTCAAAAGTTGCTAAATTAGGGTTTTGTAGGAAAAGTCAACTCAACTTTGACCAAGCATAACTTTCTCATACTTTATGAGAAATGACCCATCAAAAGCTCATTTTTAAGAGGATGCAATTTCCTACAATCCATCTTCACACACCAAGATCAAGAAATGTACTCACAAAAAGTTACAAATTTGGACATTATAGGTCATTTTTGGAAGTCAACAAAAACACCCTTTTTTCCAAAGCTTATAACTTGAGCATGGAATATCAAAATGATATTAAACCAAAAGGGTTGGTTATAGGACATCTCAAGGTTTCTAAAAAGTCCAAGAACACCTCCCAAAGTTCAAAATTGAAGAAGTTATGCATTGTTGAAGTTGGGCATTTTTCCAAAATTGCCAAAAGTCAACTATCCCCAAAACTTCATATTTTTCCAAATGGGCCCACTTTTTTCCACTTGATTTGATCTTGTCACACTACACACGTGTCCTATCTTCAGTTTTATGTACATTCATTGATTTTTCTATTTTATTTGAATTTTATTGAATTAATTCATTTTAAATCAATTTAAATCCAAATAAAATCTAAATATTAATAAATTGGTATCTTTTTGATTGATACAGGCCTTAATTGTCATCATGGACAAGATCAAACTCGTATCAAGCAATATCATGCACAAAATATTGGATTTGGAATCAAATTGGAAGCTTTTTAATGGAGGATCATATCATATCTCCAATCATCAATGCCTAAGGATTCAAAGCCCAAAACCTGTCCTAATTCATCCCATGTTACTTATACAAGGAAAAGGCACGAAAATTAGAACCTAGGGGCTGCATAAACATCAAAACCAAAACTTGAAAAAGCTTGGAACTGAAATCTTGGTTAGAGGCGAATTCAAAGGAAAAACTCAACGTGGATCAATTGTTGGACATCCACTAAAGCAAGACCAACCCCTAACAAGCTTGCATACTCATTCAGAAGCGCTGTAAGTCCTTCAAAACACGACCCTGTATTTGAAATCGCAATCTTTTATTCTGGCACTTTCTTGACAAAACATTGACATATTCATGATCCTTGAATGATTTCGAAACTTTCTACAATATTTGATTGTGTTTTTATAACCTGTAACCCCCTAGCCGATTCTAGGGTTCTTGTTCCTTGTTTTTGGGCATTTTAATTGCAGGCAAAATTGATGCTAATAATGGGCATGGATGTAATCAGTGGAAGAAGACGAGTACAACCATGTACTTGGAATTGATTTTCGTGGCCTAGAACTAGTTTTAGGAGACGCCTAGGGATTTAGCTGCGGATAAAAATCCGTAGGTAAATAACTAGGTTTCCAACGAAGAAGACGCTGACGCGTCTCCCTCCCATTGGTTCCATTCAAAATTCGCACTTTTTATTTATTTGTTTAGGCATATGAATTTGTTCCCAATATATTAATTGTTGTTTATTATACTAACAATTGAGTGCAGTGGTTGAGTTGGCAAGCGTGTTGTACAAAATCTAATGGGACCTGGGTTCGAATCACAGGTCCCCCAAATGCATATTATTATTTTTTCCCATATAATCCAATACAAGCTCCTATGCGTGATGTACCATGCTCCCTCATGCAATCAACGCCAGATAGCCTCCAGACCAAATCTGATGGTCCAAAGGAGATGCTCACCATACTCCCAAGTCAACAGGCACACGTGGAATTGCCAAAGTCAGCCAGGCTTGAGCACGTTTGGGCCTCAAAGATGCTGATCTCACCCTCCAATTTGGGCCTGAACCCCCTTGGGTTATTTCTATTGCTTTCTTTTATTTATTCATTTATTTGTTTTGTATTATTATTTTTATTATTTATTCCACTAACCAATTAAAATCTTTTTTCTCATAAAATAAAATAAAAACAAAAATATATCTTATTTATTAAAATTAAATTCAACTTTATTTTTGTAAATAAATTAATTTAATTAACTTAGTTTTAATTAGGTATAGTTTCTAATATCTTTTGCAAATAATTAAAATTAATGTAGAAATTTAGGTTTTTACTAACTTTAAATCAAATTTATTTATTTCTTTAAATATCCAAAAATCCAAAAATACTTTTTTAATTAATTAATTAATTAATTTAATAATTAACTTAGATTTAATTCCATTTAATTCA